CCATGGAGATCTCAACCCTTAACGAGAGGAAATCGAGAGGTACGAGATTTGTGGGCTCAAGATCATGTTCAGTGGTCGAATGAACAATGGGCCAATGTTCTCTTCACGGATGAGTCACGCTTTGGAATTCATCCGGATTCGAGAAGGCTTAGGGAATGGAGAGAACCGGGAAATCTTATTCGGTTGGATCATGTTCAGGAAGTGCACCCTTATCAAGGTGGAACAGTTATGGTTTGGGGAGGAGTCCAATTAGGCCTAAAAACCGATCTCGTTTATCTTGAAAGATCTCTAACAGGACTCACATATCGTGATTTAATTCTTGAGCCTGTCGTGTTACCATATGCCAATGATTGTGGGAGAAACTTCATTCTCATGCATGACAATGCACGGCCTCATACAGCCAGAATGGTAAGTGAGTTTATCAATGCTCATCAATTAAACATCTTTTACCCTAGCCGGCACAATCTCCTGACCTCAACCCCATCGATGCACGTATGGGACGCGGTCCAAAGAAGAATTTTGATAATGGGTATGCCTAATGAAACTCGTAGGGATCTGGTTCGGGCCGTGAATGCATCGTGGCAGGCTGTACCTCAAGAAGAGATCGACAACCTGATCAGGAGCATGGAGAGACGATGTAGAGCTGTAATGAACAGTAGAGGAGGCCATATCTTTTATTAAGTAAAAATGGTTTTATCTTTTTTTTTAATTCACAGTTTAGAATTAAAAAAAATGTGTGTATTTTTTGAGTTTAATAAAAATCAAGGTAAATTTGAAAAATTCGGTAAATTTTGCATTTTTATTTCCAATACGTCCTGTAAACTATTTGTTTTTTTTTAATTTTATTATATCAGAAATGCAAATAATAAAATTACTGACGATGGCTGGATAAAATTGTAATATCCCTAGACTTTTCCGGTGTGTGTATTAAAAATTGATCCAGTGTAAAAGTTCTGCCTCCCATGTGTATATTTTCTCGATGTTATGTAAAAACATAACATCGAGAAAATATAATCAGATAGATATAATCATCATAGAATCAAAAGATTCATCTATCAAAATAAAGCTTTGATCGCGATAGCTTTTTTTGGAAATATTTGCTTTTAAAGAAAACTGTAACGATTTAAAAACAATATCTTATAAGTAAAAGAAATAAGTGCAATTACTTTAAGGGTGGTAGATTTGACCAAAAGAAACATATTTTCTCTTTTACCATTTTTAAAATAAATTGATTATAACCGAGCTATTTAACTTTGAAAATTTTAAAAAACAATGGCATCATTTTGATAGCCGCCGGCAGCAATCGATAATCAGTTTCAAATACCAAGCAATTACCTGAATCTTAGCTTATTCGACGCCCAGTGTTGACACATTTACTAGAAATATACATATACTAGATACTACATTTACACGTGTATTTGTCACAAAATACATTCATATTCTATCTGAATTATTTAAAAAGTTTTAAAAAATCGTAACTCCAAAATTACAGTAGCTAGCGAAACGCGGTTTTCAATTTAAGGATGCTTCACGCTATACCGTAACAGGTCCGAGCCGTGCGTCGGTGAAGACACGGCCAAACATTGTCAAGTGTTCTTTACACATATACATTCATGCCAGGCCGAGCACGATCCGAGCTTCGCCGGAACTCGTCCGTGTCCCGTCCCAGAAATTTCGGCGTACATTTTTTTCTAGGATCCGCTCAGTTCCCGCCACGTTGTGGAAAGCATGAATGTACTTTTCCTGGTGCCCCGACTGCAATCTGCAGTTATGGTATAAACAAAGTACACTTTTTATCATATTTGTAGTAGGTAGTGAATCTTACAGCAGTATTTAATGACAGGGAATGCATAAAACTGGACAATGAAAGGATGTAATGAACAAGATAGATCCATCTTTTCCTTTGAGCAGGTGTTTCCCCTGCAGGTGTTGTTCTTTATTCATCAACTGCAATTAGTACCAATTCCAACTGCGAGAAATTTGGCATTGTTCGTATTAAATCTTCGTGTGTCTATGGGACTGTGTTTTTTAATATACTCGGAACTAATAGAAACCCCGTTATCAACTCGGTGTTGCATATACACAAGGATCGGACGTGGCTCGGTGTCTACTTCACGGAACGTGCCCGGCTCGGGCACGGTCCGGTGTACTGTGAATCATCCTTTAAGATTAGGAATAATATTTGCAACAAAATTTGTAATAACATCAATATCAGTCAGTCGCAGTTTTTGAGGTAAAAAAATTGGAAAAATTCCTTTACTTTGAAACTAAAAGAACTGCCTACCAACTTTTTATTAACATATTTTAGTATGGGCGGCTATACGTGCCTCCCGGCGCCAATTTTTTACACTATCTTCTGTACTAATAGTTATGTTTTATACAAGACGATAAAATACCATTTTATCGAAAAGATCCTCGCGATTTCGGGAAACGATAATGCAATTTTATCGTCGTGTATAAAACAATATTTTTTTCCGAGCGAGTTACGTTTTAAAAAATATTCAGAAATTATTATTTCAACGAATTTATTACGAGTAGAAAAAATATTGTGCTGGGTTGGAGTTGGTTTCTATGTAATTTGACAAATAAATAAAGCTGTCTCCTTAGTTGTCAGTTTTGAGTCAATATTTTTTAATTCTCTTTCGTTTGGTTTGGTTTGGTAATGGCTCAAAACGAAATAAGTAAATTACCAACAGATATTCAGGCTGAGGCGACAAACGCCATATCCAAACTTCTTCCATTTGAATCCCGAATAACGTGCAAGAAGAAGTTTTTAACCTATCCTCGCTGTTAAAGTATCATTTAATCTACCCTTCCGGTTAAAGTACTATTTTATCTACTATTTTTGATAGATATAAGGCAATTTTAACAGTTGCTATGGAAAAAATAACTGTTTTAAATTGTCATCACGTCGCAAAAATAAATACTTTTGTAACATTCCAAAAAAAACCTCTTTATTAAAAATTAACTCAAAATTGCGTAAAACTAGTCCACCCTACGCCTCTGCTTCCGGACCCCGAACTTTCAAAAGAATAGCGGCGGAAAAAAAGCCTGTCAAACCCCGACCCAATATCGTAAAATCACCGTATCCACCACCCCTCTTCGCCCCCTTTTTCTAGCCATGCACCAGGATCACTTTCACATTCTGTATACCCCCAATAAATAATATGAAAAGGCACCCATGAATGGGACGGGGTGGGCGCAGTAGAATTCGCAGTAGAGGGCAGCTGAACGGAACAAAAGGCAAAGCGACGAACCTTAGGGGGTCAGAAAGTGCAGCACCCTTCACCCCCTGGTACACCCCTCAACGATATGGTTGACAATGTTCGACATTTACGTCGCGTAGTTGGGTCATATCGTCACACCGAGCGGCATTTTTGCTGTGGAATTGCGCACCGAGATTTTTAAATCAAAATTATCACTTTTTTTGCTAGTAAACAATATATATATGACACTGGCAATGACAGTTTGAGGGTTACAGAACGTTGAGTTAGTGATTCTAGTCGTCGAAATGAGTGGTTCGACACAGTACTGTGATTTTTGGAACGGTCAGAACGGTGGTGAGAGTGCAGGGTATCAGAAAGGTGATTGTTTCGGACAGGGTGGTTATTTTGGGGGGTATAATGGGCAGATTGGATATTCAGGTCATGAATTTAGTAAGTATGATATATATATTTTTTTAAAAAACGTCACAAAAGTATTAATATTTCCGACGTGATTGACAATATATAAAAAAAGTCATTTTAATGTCTATAGGCATAATAATAAAGCACACAAGTACGAAAATATATTATTAAACTGGCATGAAGTGTAAAATTCAACGGGTGTAACTATTATTTCTTGATATATACTTACTTACAATGTATTACTTTTAAATCTTTTTATAATATAATGTTTTGAAATAGTTTAAAAAATTATTTGTGATGTTTTAAAGAAAAATAGCATGTTCTATTCGGAGTAAAAATGACTTTTTATGCCTCACCTGTAATGTATCGCCTGTCAAACATACAGCCTCGCACAAAGAGTATTATTTTTAACCCTAATAAAGCAATATATGTACTATTATTTGATTGTTTAAATTGTGTTCTGTTAAAAACTCTTACAAACAAAACACAATCTTATGTTATAACACTAATAATTTTGTTTCTGAGGGTTTTATTAATTTTTGAAAGTAGATACATATCTCTACCTCTAAATTACAAAATATGTTTAAATTTTCTAAGATGTTGGATATACCGGGTGCGTCTCAAACCCCTATAACTTTTTTATTTTTTCAGATAAAAAAACGGGATTTGGTATGTTAGTATATGACATAAATTAGGATTGATTGACGTATTCAATTGTTTTCGGTCACTTCCTGTTTCACCGGAAATGACTACAACTTTTCATTTTTTAATGGAACCCCCGGTATCTTGTTACTTTATTCGATAAAAAAATCATTCTGAATAGAATGACGTATCATATGTCAATTTTTGACATTCTCGCTTAATAAAAAATCGTATTTTAAAATTTAATCTAGAGTGCCATGGCTATGTTAAAAACACTAATTCGTAATCAAGGAAGGAGCCTTGGAAAAAATAGATTTGATCATCTAATGTTTTTAGTGTCTTGTCCTGGCCAGTTGGAAAATGCTCAAATCGTATTTTTAATCATATCTCAGTTTTTTCAAATGGAACGAGGGTGGCTCATTAGTATATTTGGAATAAGCATTTTTTACGAATAATTTGATACCACACACTTGGTATTTCGAGTCAAATTTTCGTTACGAACCGCAAGTTATAATTTCAAATAAACCATATGCGAAAATCTCAAAAGTTGACATATGATATGTCATTCTATTCAGTGTGTTATTTTCTATGGAATAAAGTAAAAAAATACCGAGGGTGACATTTAAAAATCAAAAGTTATAGTCATTTCCGGTGAAACAGGAAGTGACCGAAAACAATTGAATACGTCAATAAATCTAATTTATGTCATATACTAACATACCAAATTTCGTTTTTTAACTCGAAAAATAAGAAAGTTATAGGGGAGAGCCACTTTTGAGACGCACCCGGTATAATTTTATACAAATGTGCGTAGTTTGAAAGAAATCGTTAGTAACCTACCTACTTGAACATACCTATATCGAGATTAAATCTATTTTCTCAAAGGCTCCTAGACTACAAATTAATGGTTTTAACACAGTCATATGACACTTTAGATTGATATATATAAAATGCCATTTTATTTAATAAAAATGTCAAATTGTCACATGATATGTCATTCTATTCATATAAAGTAAAAAAATACCGAGGGTACCATTTAAAAACCAAAAATTGTAGTAATCAGTGAAACAGAAGGTGGCCAAAACTAATTGAATACGTCAATCAATCCTGATTTATGTCTTATACATTCATACCAAATCTCGATTTTTTTTATCTGAAAGAATAAAAATGTTAGAGGGGTGAGACATTTCTGAAAAACACACGGTATAAAGGACATGGAAGGATTGTTTTTACTTTTTTTTATTTTAATATCTATAAAAATTACATTTGATTATTGGTCCCTTACTAAAAATCGTTTTTAAACAATTTTTAGCACTGTTTATTAATCCATCATTAAACAACTTTTTTTTCCATAGCAACTCTGTTAACATTGCCTTATATCTATCAAAAATAGTAGATAAAATAGTACTTTAACAGCAAGGGCAGATTAAATGATACTTTAACAGCGAGGATAGGTTAAAAACTTTATTTCTTCTCGCATGTTTTTAATTGCTTCCATTTTTGAACATTTTTGTATTCCTTTTCATACGTTATTCGGGATTTAAATGGAAGTAGTTTGGATATGGCGTTTGTCGCCTCAGCCTGAATATCTGTTGGTAATTTACTTATATCGTTTTGAGTCATTTCTGGCTCCAATTCAATCAGCAATCGACACGAAAGAGAATTCAAAAATATTGACTCAAAACTGACAACTAAAAAGACAGCTTTATTTATTTGTTAAATAAATCAACGCCAACCCAGCACAATATTTTTTTCTACTACTTTTTTTGAATTAATATTTTCATTCGACGGTAAAATACCATTTTATCGTCTTGTATAAAAATTACTATAAAATTTCCGCCTGTTTTTCATTTTCAGATGCTTATTCACCATATAATTTCATCCAAAACCACCACCTCCAACAACAACAATCATCCAACAATTTCCCGGTACCAATCAAAGAAGAACCTTCCACCACATCCGCGCAACACCGCGCGCCTTACGGCAGTACTTGCCGCTATAGTTCCCCCAAAACGAGCCGTATTCAAATCCGGACTGTACGCCGGACAATTCCAACCAGCCCGCCACCGACCAACATCAATCATCTTCATCAACAACAGCATTTCGCCGGTGCCTACGATTTGGGATTCGTGAATGGCGATCGGAGAAGAGGTACTAATGAGGCTGCAGCAGCCGTATCGCCGACGGGGTCTATGAAAGAATCGGAGGTAAATGAAGGTGTAAAAAATGTTATGAACTGTTACGTAATTTCGGAGGATTTTTTTATTTCTATTGAGATGTCTCTCTTTCCTAGCAGCCATATGTAAATTTAAAATGTTGTCCCATTTTTATATGTTTTATGGGGTATCTCGCTTATGAGCGGAGATAAAAAAGCAATACTAAAGTTTGTCAGAAGTTGTCGACAGACGATATTCAAAAAATAAATAATATGTACCTTGGATTAAAGAGATTAAGGAAGGGGCACGTCAAAAAACTTAGGTTGACGAACTTGTTGTTGAAACTCAAGTCAAATTCATGTCAAATTGACGTACCTAAATTCTCTGACAAGTAGTAAATCAAAATAGAAATGCAAGAAAAATATATAATTAGTTAATTTTAAGTGAATTTCTCATAAATGATCTATTACAATACGTATGTATATTATGTAGTCACATACTAATGAAAGGTTATTCCGTTATTTACCTCGATTTGTGACCGAGATCTACCGCACGCTACACAATCAACTATTTTACAGTCTTTTTCGATAAATCGCAAAATTGTCACTGTTTATTAAAGTTCTGTCACAATTTCATTCTAGACTTAATACCTCTAAACAACTAGCAGGTGTGGAATACAAAATAAACACAGTAAAAACAAACAACTCCACAAAATTTCAAATCAAACTCAAATATGTCAAATGAATCGTCAAACAGAACTGTCAAGGATTCCTACCCTAGGTCCCCACATCTAGGTCTACCATGCATGAATATGCTGAGGGATATGCATGAATATGCTCGGCAAACCCGACACGCCTATTGAGTGGTGTAAATGCACCAGTCGTTTAGTCCGGAAACCTATGCTGTGTCGTATTCGCTTACTGGAATCTGGTGTCGTATTCGCTTACTGAAATGACATAGTGCGTGGTATATGTTTCTTTTTAAAACGCGTGTAGGATTTTTGTTGAACTTTGAACTGTTATTTCTAAGTTTTGGTAATTTGTATGTCTTATTTAAAATGGGATGCAAATGTGTTTATTTATAAGAAAAAAAAGATGTTATAGTATAAAATTAATTTATTAAAACAAAATTTAATTAAAGTTTTTTTTTTTTAATAGTTATTTTTCTATTGGTTCTATCGGACTTTTTTCCACTATATAAATCTTTATTTGTAAACTTTAATACATCAAATATTTTCAATCTAATAAATCATTTAATGATGTAAATAATAAGAGGAAATTTCTCTCATGGGTGGTCAAATTTTATAGTTTTCATTATATTAAACGGCCTCTGAAAATGTTTTCAACTCAAAATGCCTTTAATTATGTTTGACTACATCATTAAAAAGGGTCTTCATACATCAATGTGATATTTATCTAAAATTTGCAAAAGAATCCGAATCTCTGGATAACTCGAAATTGTTTACCCATTTAATTAGGTTTGCCTTTGATCATGAAAGTGGAAAAATTTGTTCATTTTATTTACAGGCTGGAAAAATTATTTATATTAAATTTTGATGAGTTTTGCACTGAAGAAAACATTCAGAGGCTGTTTGATATAATGAAAACTATAGAATTTGACCACCTATGTGAGAAATTTCCTCTTATTTACATCATTAAATGATTATTAGCATTAAAGCTTACAAAAATAAAGATTTATATAGTCGAAAAAAGTCCGATGGAACCAATAGAAATGTAACTATTTGTCACATCTTTAATTAGAATTTGTTAAATAAATTAATTTTTTTATATATAAATATCTTTTTTTTTCCTAATCTCCTACGAGCTGATATAATATGACGAGCAATCTATTAAATTATTGTGAGATTATACAGAAAAGTCCACAGACTTCGAGACATAGGAAAAATCAAGTCCATTTAGCGTGTCCAAATTTTGACAAGTTTTAAAAATGGCCAGTTTTGTTTAAACTGACGTTTAATTTCACCTGACTTCTCGGTGAATGATTTCCTTTTATGGGGTACATACAATCTAAAATTTACGGCCATGAAGAAATTCAAAACTTGGAGTAGTTAAGGCCGAAAATATTTAATGCCTTTGACACTGTCACCCTGATATGTTATCCAATGTGAGGAGGGATTTTATGATCGTTTGGTTTAATGCAAGAGGGAGGCACTTTGAACAATTTTTTGTAATTTTTTAAAATTTCATTATCCTGTTTTTTTACCGTTTACCCATTACCTACCTTGACGAACTTGGGAAAACGAAGGTCCTTTCAGGACCATAAATATATTTTGATTGAGAAGAATTAGTAACTTTTTTTGGATTAAAAACAAAGAAGTTGTTAATATAATATCAATTTAAAAGTGTTTTATTAGTTTTAATACACACTATGATATAAAATTTATTATTATTATAATGTGCATTATTAATGCATTGTTCATTCGAAATGGCATTAAGGCCCAATTGCAACAATGATTTAAATTTTCTTAAAGATAAGTAGAGCTTAGAATGAGCTGTATTTATATTTTACTTTAATATTCACCTTAATGAGGGAATTTGACTGACACAATTTTTGAATTTGAATTGTTTTTAATGATACTAATTATAGTTCAATTTTAATAAAATTTATTTAATAATAGAGAAATCCAAGAGATTGGAAACCTCTTTTAGCGATTTATAGCATTCTCAAATGAATTACAGGTGCCCTTATTTTCTATGAAAATCACACAGCTTTTTTCAGTCGCTGCAGTTGCTATGGCTATAAAAGGCAATTTTTAAAGGTGTGAAAACTGCGACACACGCTAAATGGACTTGATTTTCGTATGTCTCGAAGTCTGTGGACCTTTTTGTATTCCTCGATAACATATTGGTGCAGATTATTTCACCCAAACTATACATTGATGCGGATTGTCTATGAACTCTTTCTGAAGGTCACAGAAACCTGAACGCGTAATTCGGTGTTCTTTCGCATCTGTTGTAGTTAATTTGTGCTTTAGAGGCCTGTTTCAAATTGAATTATAGCATTTTCTAGTTCACCAAGAAACAGTCTACTACTGCGAAAACCGCCATCTTTCCAGTGATTAGCAAATATAAAATCAAGATCAAGACTCCTCTTCCAAATTTCCATACCATTTTTGAGAAAATTAAAGAAATAAACATGGAAATATTGTTGAATTCTTTCTAAGCCCTAAAAATAAAAAATAAAAAAAAAAAATTGCTGTTAAAGTATCATCCTCGGTATCATCCAACCGATAACTATATAGTATCACCTTTTCAGTACCATTGAACTAAATAAGAACATTGTTTCTTTAACATTTTAAAATAGCACAAAATATGAGGTTAATCCACCAAAATTATTAACAATCATCAAAAATGAAAATGAAATATAGATCATAGAAACGCGTTTCAGTTTTTAGGACGGAAATAATTCAGCTTTATTTTTTAGTTTTTATTATTTCTCTATAAAACGTTATGGAAATTTGGAAAAATAAACTAGTTAACCATTTTAGAACAAACAAAACTTTTACAGAAATGCATTTTTTCTCAAAATGTTAATAATAAAAAAGTTATCCTCCATGGTACATATCCATTTAAAATGAAAAAATCTCACAAAATACATCAAAATGTGGCTCTACTTTAGTTAGAATTAGATCAGTCATGAACACCGAAGTACAAAATGACTGCCAAAAATGTTTTGTTACTGTATTCACAAAAGTGTCAATACAGTAACTTAATATATGAAATATGTATATTCGGATTACGAGTTTACTAAACACAAATTGAAGAAAAAATAAAAAAAAAAAAATCTCTTATTTTTCTTTTCAATTCTAGGCTCTCTGGATACGTCTAAATCCAAAAAAGAAGATTCTCCAGCATTGAGAGCACTATTGAACAAACCCACTCATGAGAAAATTACTTATGACTACTCCACCTTGAGAAAATCCACAGAATCCGACGAATCTCCCCATAGGTACGTCTGTGGTGAGAAAGACGGCAGCAGCGCACCGGATAGCGAGTACAGTTCTGACAACGTCGCAAAAAATATATATCCCTGGATGAAAACCAATGGTAAGGATTTTATTTCATTACTAGCGTGTACCCGCGCTTCGTTCGCGTCGAATTAATCATTTGTGATGATGATGATAAAACAAAAGCAAAAGAATTTCCATTAACATACAAACTGGATAAAATTTATCATATTTATGTCAGCATGAAAAAACAAATATGGCGATATTATTATTATATAACTTGGTAATATTTGAGGGTAGTTTCATCTCGTTGGAATTTGACTTTCGAAAAATCCGTTTGCCAAAATAAGCTTTTTACGTCAAGCAGTTTAAAGCAGAATCGTGGTTAAGAAATTACTTAACTTTTGGAAACACCCTGTATGATTTTTAAAAATTTCAAAATATGTAAAAACCAAATAAATTATGCTTGTTTGTCCAAGCGTTTTTCCGGAAGACTAACCGTTTTTTAAATATGAAATATTGTAATATTTGAGGGGCGTTTTCACCCTCTTGGAATTTGAGGTTCGAAAACCCTCCTTATCGAACCTCTACACCCCACGATCAATGCATTTTACCAAAATCAGCTTTAAACGTCAAGAAAAATTTTAAGCAACGTACTCAATGGTCATATTTTATGGAAACACCTGTATAAAATTTATAAAAAAATCTTAAAATATGTAAAACAACAAAATAAAATATACGTGTTTAGAGTTTTTCCGAAAAACTCACCGGTTTTATAAAAATATATTTTAATATTTGAGGGATAGTTCACCTTAGAATTCGAGTTCGAAAATTCGCCTTATCGAACCTCTACACCCTAAAGTCCAATCCTGTTTTCCAAAAATCAGCTTTTTACGTCAAGCCTTTAAAACGGATCGTGATTAATCAATGACAGATTTTCAGAAACACCCTCTATACAGTATTGGCCATAAGTGGATGAACTTTGTTAAAATAATGGGGTTTCTAATATGTTTAAAATTAGGTAGACTATATATTTACTTGAAGTCTAGTGTCAGTGCTATAAAAATAAATAGCATTGTTTTTTTAAAATGTGCTTTAATAAGGTAGCAAAAATTTAAGTGAAAAATTAAACTTATTGGACAAAAGTAGATGAACAAAATATATATTTAATAAAAAAAAATCTCATGTTAACAAAAACTGAAGAATTAACTTATAATTTTGCAGTAGCGATGGCAAACTAACCCTTATTCTTAATTACTTTCAGACATCGCTGGCATGGATCCCAGAAGATTTTCAATTATAGAAAAATCCATATTTTTCCAAGACTCTTCAAAAGCTGCAAATAATTCTTGCTTATTTTGTAGAATTTGGTCCTAATGTTTTGATCCAAAATTTCCCATAATTTTTCTATTGGATTCAGGTCTGGGGATTACGATGGCCATTTGAGAACAGTCACCATTTCATCTTCCAAAACCTTTTAACCAATTGTGAGGCATGTTTCGGGCCGTTATCATGTTGGAAGTAGTGTACAACTGGCATTTTTCCTCCATATAAGGCACTAAAAGGTTTTGTAAAATGTCTCTGTAGCCAAACCGATCTATTATGCCCTCAATTTTATGGAGAGGCTCCATCCCATACCCAGAAAAACACCCCCATACCATGACTGAGCCCCCACCATGTTTTACAGTGGGTCGCGTGTACTTTGGTAGCAATCGTGTGTTGGGAGGTCTTCTTATATGTTGAATTCCATCTGATGACACCAAATTAAACTTTGATCATCATCACTAAAGCAAACTTTTTTCCATTGTACCACAGTCCGGTTTTGATATTCCTTGGCAAATGCTAATCGGGCCTTCAAATTTTTTTTTGATAGAAGTGATTTCTTGGCGGGTCTTCGGGAAAACAACTTCTGGACAACTAATTTACGTCGGATCGTCCTTGTACTCACTGGTGGATAGCCCATTTCTTCAAGTTTTGCTTTTATCTTCGTTGACGGCAAAAATGGATCTTGTGAAGAAATTCGTTTTATGGCTTTTATCATATTGGGACCAACTTTTTAGGTCGTCCTGGTTTTTTTTATAGAGACATCTCTCTCATTATATCTCTTTAAAATATAATGTACCTTTGATTTTCAAGGCAGCGAGTAGCAGTGATTTTCGATTGCTTCAAACCATCTTTAAAAGCATTCACTACTCGCAACTTAAGATCTGCAGACAGGTTAATTCCACGTGGCATGATATATCACAAGAGCTCAAATGTTTTAGTCGCAATTTGTTCATAAAGAAGAACAAATAGAAACTAACGGTGCAAAATATTTAGTTTCATCTGTCCAAGACAACAAAAAAGCAATATTTGCCAATTCTTATCTCTAAATGATAAGACTAACAGAAGAATTTATATTTGTTTGTATTATTTTGGTGAGAATGTATTAAACTTTTAACATACAAAGGTACATAAAATAATTTTTGATATTTAACACCTCAAATCTGATTTTCTTCGCAATTATTGGTATTGGATCGTCCACTTTTAGCGTAATACGGCACATTTTAAAAATCTTAAAATATGTAAAAACAAAATATAATATTATACGTGTTTAGCGTTTTTCGGAAACTTGACCGTTTGCTAAATAAAAATATTGTAATATTTGAGGGGTGGTTCACCACCTCTTGGAACTGGAATTTGGAACAATCCCTTCTTATCGAACCCTCTACATCCTAAAGTCAACCTGTATGTAAGTGAGCTTCTTACGTGGAGTGGTTTGAGCAGGATCATTGATTAATCAGTATCCAGTCATAAAGGATTTTATATATTAGTATAGATTTATTAGATTAATACTTCTATTCTATTCAGATCTTTGACTATAAATACTACTACGCGTTTAAAACTAGAACATATTAAGAAACTAACACCCTGTATATTCCTAAACAAATAACACGACTTCTATAAAAACAAGGAACACGATATTTAGTACGCTATTCGATATCCGAGACATGGTATATGTAATCTAAATGCTACACAGTGGGAGAAAAAACATTTGACGTGAACTCACACGTTGACACTTTGACATTTTAAGTCGGTGTATAGAAGTGACGTGGGGCCATATGCAGGCCATTTTGTGGGACGGGATCGCCCTTTTTGTTCTTTTCTATTTGCTTGAACCGATGTGAGACTATTGTTCGGAATTGTATCGGCCATATGGAGCGGATTTTAAAATCGATGGTGTAGGGTCTGTGGAGTGTTATCGAGTTATTTTATAGTATACGGAATTGTTTTTCCAAAACTGTTTTAACATTATATTTACAACTTTTTGAAAATACAGAAGAACTAAAACAAAGTATAACAATACCCATTTTTAAAATGGGAGATAAAACAGACCCAGCAAACTATTGCTGGGTAGAGGAATAACATTACTGAGCACCTCACTAAAACTTCTGACTAAGATCATTACGGACAAAATCTCCTCAATAGTGCTAATAAGCGAGGAACAACAAGGATTCCGAAGAAACCGATCAACTACCGATGCCCTATTCATACTCAGGCAACTATTTGAAAAATCCTTAGAATATAACTCTCCAGCCTATATATGTTTTATGGGTTAACAAGGCCTTTGATAGAGTCCAGCTAAAAGACATCATCACCATCTTGAAAAGCAGTAATGTCTCGAAAAAAACTCACAGAACTTATCAGGACTTAAACACAAATACAACAACCCTAATAAGAACAAACTTTACCTTAACGCAGCATCTTCGAACTACAACTGGTATTCGCCAAGGTGACAGCCTCAGCCCTCTGTTATTCAACACAATCATGGATCAAGTAATAAAAACCGAAAAAAACCGATCAAATGCATGACCATTACAAAGGAGCCTCTACGGTGCAAATTGGTAATAAAAAACAACACTATTGATCAGATAATGTCATTCGAATACCTCGGATGCAAAATTACAAGCTCAGGATTCCTGGAAGAAGAAGTAAGGAAACAAGCCAATAAATCTGCCGCAATATCAGGACATCTTAAATATCTCATATGGAAAAACAAATATTTGGTACAGAATGTAAGTCAAGAATATACAAAACCTACATACGACCAGTGATGACATATGGTGCGGAAACCAGGCTGAAACATCAGTAACAAAGAGAATCCTACGGACTACTGAAATGAAGACCTTAGGAATGATAACTGGATACACATTGAGGGACCGACAGAGAAATGTAGACATAAGAGAAAAGTGCGAAACAAACGACGTTGTCAGATGGATAAGGCAGAGAAGAGAATGGAACCAGCATGTCAATAGAATGGGCCCCGACAGAATGGCCATAATAATTCGCAACAACGTACCCCATGCAGAAGACCTACTGGACGACCACCTAAACGTTGGCAAGAGAGTTGGCAGTCAACCTCGCAAGGGTTGCTTAGACGAGGAGGAAACCGGAACTAAACAGGCGATACGCCTTCTAAAGAGAAGAAGGAATTGTTTTCTAAATTTTATAGATAATATTTATAAGTTGTATTTGGAAAATTTATTGATTTAACTTTGCATCCATTATTTCGTCAAAGTAATCTGGGTATTTCGTTACATGCAATGTAAATCTACACCATAATAATAGTTATTTATCTCTAATGCCGAGTCCAAACCAAGGCGACACAAAGTAAACACGATCTTGAGACAAAAACAAGACAGGCAAAATGGGAATTCTGACAGAGACAGAGCTTACAGAACATGAGCTATTTCACCGCAGGGACAAAGAATTACGAAAAGCAAAGTCAAAGGTGTAGTTGTTGCAGATAAGTTTATAAACCATGTGTAATTTTACTGGTCTCCTACTGTTGTCAGCACACGCCATCCACACTGCATGGACAACTTGTCGTAAAATGCGAACAAAGAAACTATAGACACTTTGATCTTTACCTACTCGAGACGGGACATTGAAAAGTCTCAGAATTTTGAAACCAAACAAAAATGGGACAAAAATGTCGCAGGAATGTAATGGATTTGTCGCAATTCTGTCGTAAAACATAGATGTTTCTGTCTTGTCGTTATTTTGTCTGCTGGTCTGGACACGGCATGTGGACAAATGAAGCACTTTTGTACAAAGGAGTAGAATTGTGTCAGTTAAATATATTCGGTTCCGAAACACGTATTAGTTCTATGTCTACACGATATTGCAGAGACCCACCTTGTATATAACTTTATATATTCATAGCTAAATCTAATAAAAGATTTATCTCTTCCTTGATTGCAGGTAAAATTGTAGGTTTTTATTAGCTAGATTATTTTAGCAAATGGTATATAAAAGAATTAAATTACGTATTGATGATATTTAATAACTTAAGGTTGACATAATAGATCTATAATAAAAAAATTATTAAAATTATTACGATCTTTTTTAGACTGGATATAATGATTTCATTAAAAGACGATTTTTTATTCATAAAGCCATATCAAAATTCATCAGACGTAATTCAGTAGCCAAAGCCTATTTGCATAGTAATTTCTTTGCTTGGTTTAAATATAATTTTTCATTTTCTTTGGTTTTTGCACTTGATTATTTTTCTGCAAAACTCAATAAATATGTAATAACTTATTTAACAAGACCTATTCTAATTGGTTTATAAAGGTTGTGTGTATTCCAAGCTAAGTGGTTGGGACTTGTTTGTTAATTTTAAATTATTGAGTATTAATGATGTTTTTTTTCAAACGTCCACAAAAACATTATTTTTTGCCACGTAGTTGACAATATAAAAAGTCATTTTAACGCCTAGGCATAAAAGTAAAGCACTTTTTTGCCTAAGCACAAAAGTACGAAAATATATTATTAAAGAGCTGACATAAAGTGTCAAATTCAACAGGCGTAACCATGGTTTTCTCGATATATAATTACATACAAGGTATTACTTTTAAATATTTCTTTTTTATATAAAGTTATATAGTTTCTTTTAGATAAAAGAAAATAATGAATTACGTTTGAAAATGGCATGTTTATTTGGGTAAAATGACTCTTGGAACACCTCATGTAAAGCGTACAGCTACTCTCGCCACAGAGGTCCTTAATAATTTTTACTCCCTAATGAAACAATACCATCAGTGAAACGTGATAACCTACTAACTCCATTTTTACGTTAATAAGTTTTTATATCGTAGAGTTAAAATAAAATAAAAAAAAAAAAAAGAAAATGCATTTTTCCAGTGATAAAGAAAATTTGCTAGTATAACTCAATAATATCTACTAACTCCCAGTGATCTGAAATAGCCACAGAAATGCTGCTATCTCCATAATTTCTGTTATGATCACGCTAAAGCAAACTCATGGATTCTTACTCGTATGTTTTTTTGGTACAGTACGTCGATCCAGGGTCGCACTAGGCCAAAGGGGTCCGGGTGGCAGTATGGGGAGAGCCCATTGGATTTTTGCGTATTTTCCTTGCTTATGTTTTTGTCAATTTTCCCTATTATATACAGGGTGAGTCTTAAATAGGAGTGCAAATATTTTTGGGGTGATATATTTCGATAAAAACAAAACAAAAAAAAAAAAAATTTTTGCATGAATTTTTCCTGAGAGAATTTGGAATTAAAAAAATGGATTTTTTTCATTTTAGTTTAAAAACATTTTTTTTTTTTTTTTTTTTTTTTTTTATTTTTTATTAGATTAAATTTACAGAAAGAAAATCCAATGATTCTCAAAATTATTGCAAAAAATTGGAAATTTTAAAAGTGAAATAACTCGGTTGTATTGGATTTATTTGAAAAAACGGTAAAGAGAAAATATTATGTTTCTTTTATTGAGATTTACCAGCCCTGAAAATATTTGCACTTATTTAAGACTCACCCTGTATGGAAATCAGGGACTACCCTAATGCAAGGTAAACCAATGCAATGCAAATGCCATAATGCAATGCAAAAGCAAATATTGTTAAGAATAAATAATGAACTATAAAGGGGGCCCGCGAAGGCTGGGGCCCCCCTAATAGTTATATATATAATATGACCAGTCCGATCCTGCGTCGAACCGTTCTGTAAATACGGGGTATCCGTAAAGGGTAAGGGGAAAAACGAAATTCTCTATATACGAGCAATTCATCGGCGTGCGTTTAAATAACCAATACTTAGTTGTACAAGAATTTCCATAATACCTAATCAGTTTTATTTTTTTCAACGTTTTTCCACGTAAATGATACATAATTTTTATAAAAATTAAAAAAATAAGGAGAAAAGTAATCAAAATTTAATAAAATCACGCACTGTTTTCCAAGCTCGGTCTACTACCGTTGTATAAAAATTAGGATAAGCATGGAAGGATTCTACCATATCTTCTAAGAAGTATAAGTTTAATTTTTAAGTTACTTTCATATTCATTAAGTTCAAAATGCTGCTACTTCAGTTCTTTAAAAATGCATTAAAAATTTATTCGTTTTTGAACTTGTAGTATGTTTTGCTTCTAGACCGACGATATTATAAATATATATGGTTATGAATATCATATTTTTTAAATTTAATTGATTATTTCTAAATCTGTTTAGGTAATATTCAATTCCATTTTCAAAATTGCAAACAATAAAGGTTGCTATCTCCAGAAGTATATTTTTATTTCTTATTTCTGCAAGACGAATATGTGCTATCTCCCTATTGTGTCTGAAAAAAAATGATGTAACACGAAATATTGAGTTATATTGTTCCTCAGCAAATAAAATTCTTATCTCTTTATCATATTAACGCATGAAAATTCTTCCTACATGTGTACATATTTTTTGTACCGTTTTTTTGCTCTCCTGTAAAATTAGGAATAATGGAGTTAGCAGTTTATCATATTTCACCGACGATATACTATTATCAACAAGTGTTGATAATAGCTATGTTGAGCAACGCAAGATTTATCCGGTCTACCATACCTTATCTGAGTCATATGTTCTTTAAATCTAGTTAATATCGATCTTCAGTGTTGCCAACGTATTTCTGATTACAATCTTTACATGAAATCTCATAAATACCCGACCTTTCCAGTGGAGGTGTTTTATCTTTAGGATTACCTAATAATTGTGGTAATTTATTATTAGCACTATACACAAGTTCATAATTGACATTCTTAAAAATTCTCTTTAAACCACGGAATAACTCTCTATAAAAAGGTGTTGAAATATATTTTGACGTATCTTTCTCCACTTGGAAAAGTCGAATTTGCAGAAATCGCAAACTTATACCTACGTTTTCTAATTATTTTATCAACTAATGAAGGCGAATATCCATCACACTCAGCTACATTCTTAATTTAATTTCTTCCTATTTGTTATTTTAAAATGAAAAACTAAGTAATCTATGGACCAAGAAATTTAAACTAGCCATCTTATATTCAGCACTATGATAAGCTCATTAGGAATATATTATCTGCATGTAGTGGTGTATTTTTATAGATATAGATATCAAATTCCAAGCAATTATTAGTATTCTAATAACTAATACATCTAGAAATGGTAATCTATCGTTGTTCTCAATTTCACAGGTAAATTTAATGGAAGGAAAACGATTAGAAACCTAGTGTTATATTTTGCTGTCGCACCACCAAAGGTTTAACTCAACTGTAATTTCTGGGTCTATAATTTATATTTTTAAATAAAATAAGATTCTGTATTTTGCAGCCTTATATTAACAATTTGCGAGCTCAAAACGACAAAACGTTTTTTTGTGCGTAACATTTTTTTCGACAAGGTTTTACACCACTAAAGCAATATAAAATTGCTTTTGTAACTATTAAATTGCTATTTTCAGCTGAAACAGCTAACCAAGGTAGCAAGCGCACTAGACAAACCTACACTAGATTCCAAACGCTAGAACTAGAGAAAGAATTCCACTCAAACAAATACCTGAACAGACGGAGAAGGATAGAAATAGCTCACAGCCTGTGTCTGACAGAGAGGCAGATAAAAATATGGTTCCAAAATAGGTAAATTACTTAACCTAAAAATTTATGTTTTTTTTTCATAAAAAATATTTATTTTTCTAATTCAGACGAATGAAAGCTAAAAAGGACTCAAAATATGGCTTGTCTTATGACTTTACGTCGGCTAGTGAAGATATCAATATGAACCAGCAAGGTAGTAGCTTTCCAAGTAATTCGAGTTTTAAGAATTTCTATATGGGATCACCTACAGGAAGTGCCATATCTGAAAACTCCCCTTATGGTTGTAAGTATATTGATTTTAGAATTATATTATGATCCATTTGAATATCTACAATACTGTACTAAATATTGTCAATCAACTGAAAAAATAGAATAGTTAAAATCAACTACAAACTTATGAAAACATGTGTCATCTCTAGTAAGGAGATTTTTACGTACAAAAAAAAAATCATTCATTCTGTTATTTAGTTATAACCCATATGCACGTCCCTGGTGAATATATCAATACTTTTTTATCATTAAAATATGTAACACTTATAGTAACTTTTACCCTGAAAATTTCATTCGAATCACTCAAAAGCACTTGGAAGAAAATTATAATAAATCGAGAAAAAAAAAGATTTTAACCCCCTGTAGCTACGAAACAAAGCTGAATCGGACCTATGTTTATAAGAAATAAATCTAATTTTTACGTGAAGAATCTTCCAAATAGAAATGGCACATGATTTTGAAACACCTTGTATGTATAAATTCATGTTTCAGTGGAGATTCAAACGGGCGATCAAGCGAGAAACCCCTTCTGCGTAAACGACCAAGAACTACCCCCACACTTAAAAAATTTACCCATACCACCAATTTCACCGTGATTATATTGAAGAATCTACAGTTTACACTTCTACAATATTATGATCGAAAAAAAAATGGCGTCAGCGATGCCTATGATATGTCATCGACCATTGTGATTTCCAAGCCAACTGGAGGCCGTTTTTTTTTCGATCGTACGGTGTAAACAGTTAAGGAGCTACAATCAAAAATAAAAATGTAAAATATTATGTGTGAAAAGACGTTCAGGATTTGGAAAAATATATTTTTTAATGTTGTGTCTCAGAGATATAAATAGGTATATATTTTTATATCAACTTTTAAAAGTAAGTATATTAAAAATTGTGTAGTGTTAATTTGTATATTTTTTCTGTATTAAATTTAAAAAATTCCGACTTTGTGATTAGTAAGTATATCTAAAAATGGCTTTTGCTAAAATGCCACGGCATGGGCATTTCAGATATTTTAAATGGTACTTTTTATTCTCTTCTTTTGCGTCTGACGACGGAGAAAAATCTGCCATTGACATGATAAGTATGATATTTTAATTACCTTGCTTCTCATACAGTTTGTGCCTCTTTATTGTATAGTTCCTAAATTACACAAGGTAATAGTGTGTATCATTAAACGCTCAGAAAATAAAGTACCTATATTTTTATATTAATATAATTAAATGTAATTTCTCCTAGAAAGTCTTGAAATAGTATAGTAACCAATTGTAAATAAGTTTTCTGTTTTTTTTTAATTTTGTCTAATTTATTGTATACTATGACTATACAAACATATCGACATTTTTATATGCATTTATTAAAATATAACTTATAGGTATACTTGTAGATATTATATTTAAGTTTAGCAAGACGTAGAAACGAAAAAAACCAAAAATTTCCTCAAAGTACCTCATTATTTATAGTCAATATTATCATTTTATATAGCCTTATTCGGTACCTCAAAGTTATTGGAAAAAATTAATGGTTTCAGTGACACTTTATAGTTAAAAATTTATGATCATTCAAATGTCTAAAAAATACAATTAAAATTAATAGAATATCCTAGCAACATCTTGCGGTAGTCAGTTGTATCCATAGAGAAAGCCTAATAAATTGCTTATAAAATAATAAATTTTTCATTTCTAACTATACTACTATAATTACTACCACTAATTTTGACGCTTTGAATGCTTACATAGAAATTAGACTAATAAACTTCTACGCTAATAATCGAAACCACTAATTTATTCCAGTAATTTCGAGGTCCTGAATGAAGCTTGTAGGTAGGTAGTTCAAATTAAAATAGGAGAGATATTAGACTGATGTAATAATTCAACCAAACTTTGTATATATTGATTAAAATAACGTTTTTAACGTATAATATTTAGAGATAATAAGATTTTATGCTTAGATTGTGTCTATTATTTTAATTTTTTCAAAAGTTATGTAATAATATTGTAGGCAGTTTGTTTACCTTGTTTATGGCTTACTATCAGCCCTTTCCATATACCCTCAGCATCCTCAAATCCTAATTTACAAGATGTTTTGACAAGATTATGACAGATAATCCTGACTCGGCGAAATTCCAACAAAGCGGGCATTTGCTAATTTTACAACTGCCATAAATAAAACTAATGGTCGGGATGAGACTCTGAGTTAGTTATGGTCAGGTAGAGGAGAAATTTTGTTAGATTTTCTATGGGTTATAGAAAAAGGAGGTAAGGTACAACATAAACTAGAGCAGAAAAAGAGAATTATACTCAATACTGGGCCAAAAAAAAATAGAAATGGAGATATTTCTAAGAATAAATGCCCAAAAAAGAGCGGTGTTAGTGAACAGATTATTGTATCTTAAAGAAAAGACATATAGATCGCCACGCCATCCAAGTTAGCTAAAATTTTTACTAGACATCCGATTTACAAAATAATATACATGTACTGATTTCTTTCCAAAAGAATCAGCAACTATGGAAACTATATGATCCCACTTCCGACACAAACTGAATTTTGCACATTTGTGAGACAGAATTGTAAGAAGCCATATAACATGGGATACAACACTTGTTTAATGAAAATTGCTTTCCATAAAATCAATGGAATGAAAAGATATTCGAAATAATATACATGTACTGATTTCTTTTCGAAAATCGACAACTATATGAAACTATGAACCCTCATAGTTTCATAGGACACAAACGGTACATTGTAGGACAGGAAATTGTAGAAAGGAAATTGTAGAGGGAAACAAACCCTATAACATAGGATACAACATTTTAATGAACAGTTACTTTCCATAAAATCAATAAAAGTGAAAAATATTCGAAATAATATACATGTACACTGATTTCTTTCGAAATCCTGACAGCTATGAAACTATGATCCCTTCCCCATCACAAACAGTACATTGTGTAGAGAGAAACAAGCCCTACTTATTTACTTAGGTTTTTAACATTTTGTGAACAGTTACTTTCCATAAAATCCAATGGAAATGAAAATGCCACAGAGAATAAATATAAATATAACACATTTTATAGAAAAAATTATATTATAACATCTAACAGTTTAATGGTTAGTTTTGACGTTATTAGTCTTTTCACTAATGTACCGGTAGAAAAATCATGCTTAAAATAGTTACTTAGGGATGGGTTTAGAAAAGATCAAAATTTAAAGATAGAACAAATTAAACATAGATGAGTATTTTTTGAAATTGCTGACACTTTAAAACTACTTGTTTTCAATTAAATAACAATTTTTTTAACAAGATTTCGGTAGTAGGATCATCTCTCTCTTCTCTCTCATTGATAAACTGATATTTTTATGGAGATTTTGAAAATAATTTTTTTTTTTTTTATTTTTTCAAAAAAGCCTATAATGCTGCTACCTTATGTTGCTGATATTTTTGTAACTTATTACATATTATTATTATCTCAAGTTAAACATCAAAATTAACAATAATTACTACCTGATAACAATTATCTAAGGAGATAAAAGTAAGCCAACTAATCCTCAAACTGTCTGTATATAGTCAGGGATATAATAAAATTATTTAATAATACTTTTTTTTTTTTTTTTTTTTTTGTATTTAAATACATATACCTATTTCCTTTGCATAATGGAAATCACATGACTAAACTTTAAAATCCTACATCATTAATAAATAACAAAGGAAGCGTTTGTAAAAGAAATAACTTTAAAATAACACATTCATGTTTTCGATATTTTTTCTTTCTTTACATTTATTTGTTTCAAAAAAAAAAAAACATTTTTTTTCTTAATATACCACAAAACACTAATTAACACACCTAACAAACTAAAAGTACAACTACAAAATGTACTACAAAATCTCTGGGTTTTATAAGTGAAACTTGTGCAAGAGTGCATGTAAAAGCCAAACAGTCTCCTTTAGCCACTATTCATTTTGTTACCCTTGTGACATGGCCTATTGATATTCCTTGGCTACCCTCTAGCATAGAGAAAGTTCTTCGAGCTTGCGCTTTATAAGCTTTAAACATGGCCGTTAGAGTGGGTTTGGAGGCGTTTTAAGGGATTCTCAAATGGTTTACAATATAATATCAATAGATTTATCTGTTTCATATTTTAGTTTTTATTTATTTATTAATAATGTAGAACTTTTATGGTGAATGTAGGATTTGTATAAAATGGGAATTTTAGTAGAGAGGAATTATAGTGACCAGTTTTGGAATAAATGCTTTAGAAATAAATTATCTGATAATAATTTTTTAGCGTTGTTTGAAGTGTTTTTTAGTTGTTATAAGTTTGGGATCTTGTGATATACAGGGTGGGTCCAGACAGTATCCAGGAAACTTCGGCAGCATATTCTGCAGATAGAAATAAGTAAAAAAAGTTCTTATAAATAATGCTTTATGCCCTGAAATGCTTAGTTTCAGAGAATTGGTGTGTAGAAGTTTCATTTTATTTCGATTTTTTTTTCAAATAGATTTAAATTAATAAAATATTTGGATGAAAATTGATTTTTTTTTTTTTTTTTTTTTGGGGGGGTTTTGTTTTTGATGTTATTATGACTCCTATTTTTAGGAGGTATCACCTACATATTTTGTAACTGATTTGAAGAGTAATAATAAGTTTCATACGTACCTGTATAAAACTACTGGTAAAAAAATGCATTTGGAAACGTTTTTTGAGAATTAAAAGTATCTTGGTAAAATCAACTAAGAGTAATGGTTCCAAGTATTTGGAATCAAGAATTATCAATGCCATCATTGACATAAAATTAAAAAAAAAACATGTTGACTAAATGGTTATTAGACTGAAATCCCAAATTTGAAATTTATTTAAACATTAAAAAAAAAAAAAAAAAAAAAAAAAAAAAAAAATATCAGAGAAAAATTAAAAAGTTCAAATTTATCATTCCTCAAATAAATTTATTCAAAAATATTTTTTTTGAAAAATGAAATATATTTATTTTTTGTCCAATATGACTTATGTGACTATTTCCATTCAAATTTCTTAAAACAGTTTGTTCGTAGCGACTTTTATCAAGCAATACGTAAACA